GCACATTTGGTCAAGTATCTGTTACTCCATTCTGCAAACAATTCAGACAAGATTATACCTTTACTAAGGTTATAGAGCCTGAAGATAACTCAAAACTAACTAGGACACACAGAGCTAAAGCTGACAATGAGTCAGAAGAACTTCATAGTGCTGAATGACTGGAAAAATAAACTCAGAGATCAAACAAAACAAACAAAAATCAAGAGAGTAATTTATTAGTGGAACTATGAATTTCTTGATTCTGGCCTCTGTTTCATATCCCATTCAGGGACTGGAAAGAATCATTGCAAGGGATCAATATAATCACACCCTATTTTTTACAGACTCCCTAAAAGCTCACTAGCAGGCCCTAAGACTCGCTAGTAGGACTATCTGAACTTCTGGTTCTATTTGGCAGAACAGGATTTATGATCTTTAGTGGAATTCAGCTAGCTCTGCTTGATTGACCACTTAGTTTCTGTGAAAATAAAATAAAAAAATCGCATAACTTCCCTCAAAGTTACAAAGTTATAATGGAAAATATTAGCTTATCCTCAGTGTTCTTCGTATTTTTTTTTTTTTTTCTCTCAGAAACAAAATTGTTCTGAAACATTCATATAAGCAAAGACTTCTGTTTTCTATAAAATCCAGTCTCTTACTTGTGACTGGTCAAAGTAGACTTTCACTACTCAAGCATGCCTTCTCCAGAGAAAAATGCATTTCGGGGCTTTGATCTGCCTTCCCAGACCACCCAGAAGCTTACACACAAGGAAGAATGCCAGAAATCTTTCAGGAGAAATACTTGCAAATTAATAAATGTATGCAAATGTTACATGCATACAGTTCCAAAAGAAATTACTTAAAAAGTGTAATCCTCTTGCAAATTTTAAATCACCCTGCACTTATTTGTATTCAAATTGACAAGTGTAATAGAATAGTGGTGTCACATTACCACAAATTATCGTAGGATTTTTCTGAGTTAATAATTCTAGCTTGCAAAATTATGCTGCAAAGCTAAGCCTCAAAAAAAAAGTTTATACTTTAAATACAAAGATGCTTTGGCACTCCAAACATATATATTTTTTATAAAAAAAAAAAAAATCTCTTCTTCCTCTCTGAATAAATAAATTCTCAGGTGGGAGAACATAGTGAAAATGGGAACATATACTGCTTGGATTTCTCAGCTCAAAAATTGTCCCAGTCAGTCTGGATTTGCATTTTCCTCTTCTGGCATTGTAACTGGAGACTGAAGTCTGAAGAACACCAACTCCAAGATACTTAACAAAGCACAGATGAAATCTAAATGCCTGTGTATCTGATGAACATTGTGAGGAGAACAATGCACCATTAAGTCAGGAAGAGTAAAGCAGACAAGTTTAAAAAAAATACCCCCTTAACCAAAGAGACTGCACAGAAACATACTGTCAATGCTAGGACGTATTTAACAACAGGTAATAATCTTACTTTTGCATCTTCCCTTTCATTCATTCTTAATTGTGTTTTTATGTTGCTAACATTCCTTACAAAGATGAGGAAAGCAAATACAACACTTCTGGTATAGTTCATGGAAGATGAAGGCAAAATGCCTACACCCAAAGGAGTCAGTGCTCTCTATCACCATGTGCCTCAGTGCATTGAGCCTGAAAGAGATGCAAGCACATAGTTACAGAATAAGGAAGGCTGGAAAGGACTGTTGGAAGGATCCAGCTCTGACCCTGCTCGAAACAAGACTAGCTTAAAATTAGATGAGGTTCCTCAGTGCCCTCTCCACAGGCAAGTTTTTAAGTTTTCTTCTAGGAAGTGAGACTTCAACAGTTTCTCTGGGCACACCATTACTCCCTCTCACTGTGAAGAGTTATACCATATTTGCAAGGAGTTATCTACCTCACTATAGCTTGTGACTTTTGCCTCACGTCCATTCATTGTGCGCCGCTCTGAAGAGCCTGCCTCCATCTCCTCTACAACCACCTGTATCCTTTTGGGGAGCTGAAGATTTGTGAGTAGATTCTCTAATTAACTCTGCTGCTCCCTCCATCCCACTGCTATGTCATCTTGGACAAGGTGACTACCAAGACAACCGGTCTTCGTTGTCTTTCATTGTCCTTCATTGAACCTAAAACTGGATTCAGTACTCCAGGTTCAAAGTACAGACCTGCTTTGCAGAGGGAAATATGCTGTTTCCACTGCTACCAAGCCCAAACTTTCACAAATCAGAAGCTGTACCTAAAGCTGTGGCTGCATTTTAAATATCAGTTTTAAATTTTTTTTTTTTTTAATCTGAATTTGAGACATACCCTGTAGTTCTCTTCACAGCATGCCAGCTACAAAGCAAGAAAAAAGATATTGTGGTAATTCAACTTCCAAATGGTAAAACTTTAAGAAAATCACAAAATATGACAAAAACATCAGAATGTATGAATAGAGTATGGCTTCCCACCATAAGTAATCTCACTGAAGACAATAAATACATTGACAGGCAGGGAGCAGGACTATCAATAACAATGGTTTTGTTTGTTTCAACTCATACTCTCTTCCTACTATTAGTACTGGGCATAAAGTATTTCTTCTGTTTCTTCATCTAATACCATTGTGATTTTGGGAGGTGTGGAAGGAGGAGTGACTCCTATTAATGGACAATGTCCAAACAGTAGTCCAAGGAATTCAAAACAGCCTCTTTGAAGACATCATAGACAACATCTCCACAACTCATGAAAATTACAGAGACAAGAAACTCAGCAGCCAGCAAATAAAGAGCACCCCACTGCCAAGAAACATATTCAGACTTATTGAGAAATTTGGAAGGAATTTATATCTGAAGTATAAGGTGCATGTATGTATATGTCTTCTGCTTGTTACTTCTCCTACACATTTGCAATCGATTCTAGATATTTTATTGACAATCACCTTAAAATTATATAAAAATCAAGTTCGTTTTTTCTTTGCATGTCACCAGTTTCTATAGAAACTGTTCCTAAAGACTTATGAATACAGAATAATCTACAGTATAGACTTCTAGAGTATACAGCTTAACCCTTGAAAATGTTTCTGATATCAAACTGGGCGATAGGCTGTAAAATATTTTTCCATGTAGAAGTAATGAATCACTTTGTTTCCTAAATTAGAAGACCTCTACATAACAAGCAATGGATGTAAAAGATGGGCAAGGTTTATAATTTTGCTTCTTTTTAGTGAATGAACATGTAAACACTAGCAACACCACAAAGCTGCACTTCCCAGTGTGGACTCCAAACATACACAACTGTAGAGCCCAAACCCTCGTAAATCTAGTGTCGTAAACTCTTCTTCATTAGGAAAGACTAAAACCAAACATACCAAACTGCAATCATAAATTACAGAACTACAAACTTACCATGCCATCAGAAGTCCTTTTCTTCTTAAATCATTGAGGAAATAATTGCAACAGCAAGTATAAATGCCAGAAAAACTCAGACCTTTTTCCCCAGCAGAATATTTCCTGGCTTTTAAAACTATAAAATTCACTACCTATGTACCATTGCACAGGAAATAACAGGCATGTTACTCCTGAGGTGAGAGAAGCTGCTGTTACCCAAGTTCCAGCTCTCTTTGAACTAAATTCTGGATGTCCGAATTTCTTCAGCTTAGGAACAGACTTCTCATGTGAACGTCAGTGCCAACAAGCCACGTCAGAACCAGCCAGTTCTTACTGACACTTCAACCCATGTGCTGTATTAATGATCCTGTTGCTTTGTTGGTTTGTTTGTTTTTATCCCAGTGAATTATACTTTGTCTTCCCTGGACAGAGGATGAAACCTGTCCAAAAGTTTTGGTTCTGCTATGCTTTAGTCAGTGTTCACATTCACTTTTCTGCCAGGCTACCCTGGAGCCGAGCAACCCATGTGGAAAGCATTTCCACAAAGTGGACCCAAAGTTTTGTGCCTGGCTGCCCTAGAAACATGAAGTTTGTTTGCCAGCACAAGACAGGGTAACTACTAGCAAGGGAATCCAGAGTATTTTTTTCCTAAACCCATCTCACCAACCACCTGATTTACTACCTAACCAAGGTATTCTGCTTCTCAACTTTCTCATTCTCCTTCTTTCTTTCAACAAGGTGTGACACATAAAGAAAACATCCTCTCTTAGAAAACTACAGTGACATCAATTGAGTAAAGAAAAGCGAAAATTAATGAAACAGATGAAAGTAAGGTATCTCACGTTAAACAAATGAGAGGCTAACCAGTGTTTTGCCTGTGCCTAGCTCATGAACTGCCATTTCTACCCCTTGTAACATCAGCTTGCTCCATGTTACTAACAGTACAAAGCATCAGGTGCCTTGTTGCCAAGCAGCCATCTTATACGATTCAGAAGACTTGAATATTTTCTGTTGTAACACTTAGAAAATAAAAAGTGCAGACACATGTTCACTGCTGCTTTTGCCACAAAATTCGTATTTTTGTCCCAAGGGTATGCAGAAAAGCCCCACGCCACATCTGATAGAAGAACAGATGACCTAGCCCACCAAGTCTCATAACTAGATTTCACTTGACTAAAGGTTGGACCTTTACCCTCACAATTTAGCTTCTCTTTTAATGAACTGAAAATGTGCATTAAATACAGACAACAATAATTTGACATCTCTGAATGTCATTGTGCAATGATAACACTGAAATTTTTTCAAAACAGTAATTTCTTTCCTTGTTTTTCCTTTGTCAAGTATTTGTTTCCAATTCCTCACAGCAGAAGACATTTTCATTTGTTTCTGATTCAGCAGAGTCTTTTTTAAGTGGAAATAGCATATTTGCAGTGCTCATTTAACAGATTACTTTGATGACTTCAGAATCTCTGCCCACATAAGAGAAAATTCTCGGTGAAGAGTTTACCAAACATTTGAACCGTTTAACAGAGACCTCAGAAGGCCAGGACACACAGCTTACTACCGCATGCCAGCATGTCTGATGTTACAATTTGCCTCAAGATAAGAAACTATCACTACCCTGCAGCTATCTTAATCTTCTGTCACAGACACTGATACTTATCTTGTATATCCAGGCTTGTCAGTGACTCAATTATATACACCATCTTGCTCTCTCCTGTGCCCACACACCATCCTGTTCCAATCCCTTTATTTTTTTCTCCTATCAGTTCCCATACAAGTTTCGGAGATCCCTCTAAGCCTTCAGAATCAACTTCATTCTCTTCTTTCCAATTTATTGAGAAAACCTTTCTTTACCATGACATCTTTCAAAGAAAACTTCACATAGCTATGTCAGTATGGATTTAAGGCCACTGTTTCTCAGACCACAACTGTCTGTTGCCTGTGTTATATCTTTCATCTTGCCAATTTTAAACTTCACTAACACTTCTCAAACAGTTGTTTTATAAGGCTCGATTTAATAGGATGCTGGTTCATGAGCAGCAATCACAAAAACACAGAACATATGGGGCTGGAAGGGACCTCAAAAGATCACCTAGTCCAACCCCCCTGCTAGAGCAGGATCACCTAGATCAGGTCACACAGGAACGCGTCCAGGTGTCCATAAAAGCTCTGTGATACATTCACGGTAAAATTATTTTTAAGAAACAAGAACTTTCAGCAATCTCTGTTTTTCATGACTAATATCATGAGATATTAGCATGTAAGAAAACTAAAAAAACTCTCAGCTTAAGAATATTAACTAAGCTATCAACCTGAACTTGCTTTAGCACAGCAGAACTATTGTTTACCTTGTATTCTCCACAGATAATCTGCAAAGTCCTGAAATCTTAATTGTTTGCCTGTTATGGTTTGGATTAATTTTCTTCCATATTTTCTTAGATAATACAGGCAAATACCAATGCCTGTAATAACAGTGTTAAAAAGAAATAACTCTGCAACCAGTAATAGAAATTGAAGTGATGTATAGCTTGAATGTGACAAGAACTCTTAAGGAAAAATACATTTGTTTAACAAGGTGTTTAATTTTAACTCCTACAATTTAGTATATATAGTAAATTACATTCTTCTGAAACCAAATTTTACTTAAAACCTCTAGTTAAAATAAATTTTTAGTTTCTATGCACAAAGAATGACCAGATTCAAACAGACCACATTTAAACAGACCATATATTTTTCAACATTTCTTCTTTTTTGCTTCTTTTCACAGTTCCATTCTGTTTGGACAGCTGATTGAGTTTACACACCACACAAAACCTGAGAAAGTGATAAACCCAACACAGTATTTCACTGACAGCAATTTAGATTATTTGTCTATGGCATGCAAGTAAATACTGTACGTTCAGGATAAACAAAAATTCAACAACCTGGGAGGTGGGAGGAAGAGACAGAACTCTCTTCTGGGAAGAAAAAATTCAAAGACTTGGAAATCAGATTATGTAGACAGCTGAGCATGAGTTCCCAACGCCACACTCAAGTTACAAAGGGTAATATCTCTGTTCACAGTGAAAATAAAAAGCACAACAGCAGCAGTAGCAGAGAACTTTCATCTCCATTTTTGGCATGTGTGTCACCACTACAGGAATTCTCAATACATTCTGGAGTTCTAAAGCGATGGACAACTCTAGATCAGACCAAATGTCCTTCTATCCTTGTTTTCAGCTGTGGCCAACAGGACACCCGGGGAAGACCACAGCACACAAGGTATTTCCCATTTATATATACATCCTCCAGTATCCAATCACTTCCAGTTCAGTGAGGCTATGATTTATATGTGGTTTCTATGTATTTAATAACCCTCAGGAGAGTTCCGTTCTATGGCTTGTCTGTGACTGCTTGAGCTCTTAAACCTACATGGGCAAATTCTCATGCTGCCTGTGATCCTGCAGTAAGGAATTCCAAAGCTTGACTAATTTTCGGTGAAGAACTACCTTGTTTTGCTTTCCGCATTTATTTGATGCTCTACAGTTCCTGAAGTTGAAGAAAGACAGACTAGCTCAGCCTTTTCTAATTCTCTCCATGCTACTCCAGATTTCATAGACCACTATAACCACCTCTCACCTGTCTCTTACCCAGTCCTTAGTGACTCGTCTTCATAGTAGCTATTTCATAACTTGGTTAGTCCTTTTTCAGGCTTACTATACGGTGTTAGAAATAGGGAACCAGAACCACAAACAATAATCAGGGCTTGGACAAGTGGAGGATTATACAGCAGCACAGAGACTCCCATTTCCTTCTTAACTTTCTTTTTTGACTGCAATTGAGTGCTGAATAGACATTTGCATGGAAAAATCTATTAAGACTCCAAATATCGCTCTTGAGCAGCAGCCATCTTTGTCATTTTGTGTGAAATTCAAATTTCTTTTCTCTATATGCACCTCTTAACCTCTCTTTAGCCTAAATTTCACCTGCCATTTTATTTACTATTTATCTCATGCAATTCCTTGTTGTTGATCCTCATCTAGACTACTCAAACACCCATGACCATGCTCATAGAAATGCTATGATGATGGCAAAATGCCTTCTTTTACCATTCCAGACAATCTGCACCTACGCAAGGAAGATTTCTGCCTAGGACACTAGGCTGACAGAAGCAGCAAAAATCACTGGTCTGCACTCCACTGTGGCTGTATTTATTTTAATGTAGGACTCCCAACTAAAGCAGAGACCAAAGTTTCCCAACTGTCTTGTGCCCCTCCAGGCCAGGGATCACGTCGCACTGAAACAGGGGGAAAAGTTAGAGCCAGCCTGCCTCTTGATTTTCAGCCTATACCACGAAGAAGCTTGAAACTGATCCTGATTAAAGGACTGGAGCCATGCCTAATATGTGCCTTCATGAGCAAACTGGAACTATTAAGGGATCAAAGAGAATAAGCACAAGTAACTCAATAAGTCGAAGTGTAGAACAGAAAGTAACAGATGACTTTTCAAGATAAGCAGCAAATATGT